TTTCCGGTTTATCGAAATATCGAAATCTAGATTAGATAATGTGCGAGTCGTAAAATTAATTTTTTTTTTTTGACACGCTTAAAAAAATTTTTTTTTTCCGGTTTATGTACAATTGTATTTTATTTCAATAAATTAAATTGGTCAAATGAATTGAAGAATAATATACAATTAGGCGCAAAAAATTTGCTTAGCTGAAAATGGAATAATATTTTTTTTTCTCTCTTTTTATTGGTGCAGGTAATGATAAATAAAGAAGCAAGGAACCGTTAAAAGTTGAAACATTAAAGAAATGTCAATCAAAAAAAGGTTTAATAACGCCAATTAACCAAAATAGTATATATGTATGTCGTTTATATACAGTTGTAAGTTGTCGAAATATTTTGATTGGCTAAACATAAAAAAAAATATGAAAAAAAAAATTGGTTCAAAACTAATAATAAAAGTCTTTTTAAACATGCTCATATGGTCATACATGATCTTTGCAATTGTTCTCTATTTAAATTTCCTAATTTGTGAAAATGCTTTTTGATATATATAAAATCAAAAATTTTCATTTTTCTCCCATCATGACCATCATGACCATATTAATCCTTATATATATTCATTTAAAGATTAGCTTAGGTGGCCCATTCGCAAGTAAATATTTATTTCTTTAACCTGTAAATGTGGCAAAAAAAAAATGATTTATAATGTATATTTAAAAAGTCTCACCATTTTTATAATTTATATTCATATTTAACACAAAACACATTATTATGAACTCGCTTCGTAATTGAATTGTAAATATAATAAAAAATAAAAAAAATCTTTTTTTTTTTTTTTTATTTTTATTACTGTAAAAGAGTTAGTTAGGTTTTTTTGTTTACATCTTCTCACCCAATTCCCGATGCCGATGGTTGCCTAAGAGCCTAACCTGAAACGATTTAAATTTGATTTCTTTATTATGCCTGATTGACATTGACATTTTTAACTAAAATTTTACTAGAATGACAAAGATGTCCAAGATAAACTAACTAAAATAATAAATGTACAGTTTAATTTTTTGACTCCTCATAATAAAATGACATACATTATTTTAATTGATTTATGTTATTATTTATTATATATAAACAATGCTAAAATGAAATTATTATTTGAATTATGCGACATGTGAATTGCAATAGTCTAAAATTACTCATAATGACTTAGTGTAATATATTCAATATGAATCAATATTTCAACATGCATGCCAAACTAAAAGAGAAAAATTGTAATTTAATTAAGTAATGTAAATTCCAATTATTTCCGCCACTAGTTCTAATTCTATGTCTTGCTCGACGATTATTCCGCCTTCGAAAATAAGACTAGCACGTAAGATGCACGTAAGATGGAACGTTTGAAGGAGTACGTTCAATAGTTTCGGTAAAATTGGATTTATAAGTATAATTAAATTGATTCATTGCGAAAATTGGTTTTTTTTTCTAGGTGAAAAAAAAAATGAGAAATAAAAAATTCGTCAAAGTAGAAAATAAAAAATTCTTTTTTTCGTTGTTAAAAAAATATAAAAAAAAAAATTTTTTTTTATTTTTATTTTTTTCTGATCTGTTTCTCACTTTTTTAACTAGGTAGTAAAAAATATATATATATTATAAAAACTTTTTTTTATTTATTCATTTATTTATTTTACAAAGTTTCTAATTTTAATTATAACTTTTTTTTTTTAATATATAAAGTTGTAAACGTAAATGAAAAAATTTTTTTTTTTTATATATATAATATTATATAATATACAATAACAATAATAAATGATCTTAAATAAAGTATAGATTTTTAAGAAATCATTTAAACCATAACAGGTCAAGTCGATTATTGTTTATCAGTATTACAGGTAATTTTTAAACTCCATTGGTATAGGTTTCATATATGCATCTTTTAATTTTAAATGCATTGTAGGGGAAGAAATAATATACTTGTACGTATATGGGAAGATGGGTGAACTTTTATTTCATAGAAACGTAAATGAAAAAAAATGAATGTAACTATGTTATTAAACAACGGATTTCAGATTTACCAAAATAAAATCTAAAATGGAAATAAGAATAAGAAATAATTATTTTTCGGCGAAATGGCTTTCGGCCCCGATACCATTATTATTTATAGGAAACCGTATTATTATTTTTTTTTACAACAAACATCCTCTTTGAGTGATCCTTTTATTATCAACAAAAATGAACACAACAGATATATATTAATATATATATATACATGTCAATCAAAAGAATTTTCTTATTTTTTAAGGTTTTCAATCACTGGTAATACAATTTTTAATCTCTTACAACTATTTTGGTTAATTGGCGTCGTTAAAAAAGTTATTAAGTGAAGCGCTATACTGATTATAAAAAATCAATAAAAAGATGTTGATAACCCAAACATTACCAAATATGGTAAAATTCAAGAATAAATAATTGAGCAGCTGAACAATAAATAAATAACAAAAGGTTTTTTTTTTGATAGACTTTTTTATAAGGGAGCTTACACATATTATGTAATTATTATAGGGGGGGAGGGGGGTAGTTAAAATTTTACGTTACACTTATTTAAATCATATGATTTATAAATATTATAATTTGATTGGTCGTAACTTAAATCTATAAAATCTTGGTAAGAAATACATAATAATAATAATATCATATTTTTTTTTTTGTGTGGCGCAATTTATCATTTTTACAAAATTTTGCACACAGGGCCGCATTACGGCGTTATGCACTAGCACGTGAAAATATCAGTGACGAATAAGGTGACGAATAAGTTTATACTACTCGAAAAAAACTGTTGTTCCCCTCAGATAAATATAAACAGTGAAACTCGGACGGGTGTGACTATGTGATGAATTAAAGTGATCACGTGACCGTGCAAAATTTCCGGTGCGGCTGGACTAGTTATTTTTTATTCCATTGGTTATTTATTTATAAATTAGAAAGTTCGCTGGGAAGTTTTGTTATATGTAACGAATATTTTTTTTTTTCTTTTATTTGAATTTGCAGATTGATTAAAAAACTAAACTTGTTCCAGTCCATTTAACATAGTTACCCATTTAACTAAAAGTAGGTTATATTCTGAGTTGTATGAATTGTTAAAGTCAATATTTTTTATTTTTTTTAAAAACTTTTTTCCTTTTGTAATTTTTTTACCTATAAAGATAATTAATTTTAAAGGTAAAAGTAAAAGAAATTTAATATTATTTTTTTATTACTTTATTTTATTATTCTATTACTTATTTTATTAGCATTAATACACTAATCTGTACTATTTCTATTGTGCATTTGTGCGGGGTAACATTTACACGATTCATTTGATAATATTCATCACTTGTTCTTATGGTATTGGGGTTTTCTTTCCCGGATTTTTATTTCACTGAATACTCTTTGGAATAAACATTTTCCGCTCGACTCTTTTTAGAAACTAGAGAGAAAATTGAATATAAAGATGCAATGCTAACACAGTGGGTTTGTCTATACACGAGAATATATCCGAAATTTCACTCAATTGTCTCGTTATGGGACAACTCTAGAAAAGGTTTCGAAATCAGTATTTTACAAAGAAAAAAAATTTTTTCATCTTAAAGAGAGTATCAAAGAGAAAGGAAAGAACAAATTCTCCAAGGTAGATGCTAGTGATATAACTAGTGAAATCGAAAAGTTTGAGAATATAAAAACAGAAAAGCAGTCAATCCTACTTTTTGAACAGCACTTTGATTCTATTATCAACAACAAAATTATGAATAATAATTCTGTTATTTCCTTCACTTAGCACTTATGTGTTAAGAGGTTCCATCCTTCATAATTTTTCTCGTTCCTCGGAAAATCATGATTTTCTTGTATGCGATTTGTCTATCATTCATGTCTACAGAAAAATCTTCATGATTTTTTGAACGAAGTGAAGGAAATTATACAGGGGTTTCGATCAAAGCAGTTTATTTTTCACTACGGTAATAATAAATATTTATTTAATTCAACTGTTCACTATATACTTGAAAAACGATGGATAAAGTCGCTTTGATACGGTAGACTAATAATGTTTACCAAGAGTCTGCTATTATCGTCTATTTTTGTTACCTGTTTCAACAAAGTGCATACTTAACAATGATGGGCGTTCGGGAAGTCAAGAGAACTTCTGGCAGTGCCTATGATAATTTTTTTATTAAACGGGAACTGGGTTCAGTTTCCACGATTCCGTTAATCAAAATCAGAATCTTAACCAAAAAAAGAAACCTTTAGTCGTGAGGTCAAAAAATTCTATTATGTAATAATTAATAATTTGACGGATTTGCATTCCAATGACGAAATAGAATATTCGTAAACAACATTTTTTTTATTATGAATTAAATATATTCGTTGAAGAGTAAGTACAATAATAAATAAAAAAGACGAAAATTTATTAAAAAAATTCTATAATAGTTATAAATCATCAAACGTATATCAGATATTAAATTTTTCAGCGTTATTATATTCCTTCAAATGTCCAAGAATAACATTATAACATTATCTTTGATTTCTCACTCACAAAGTCAAAATTTTTGTGCCGTTACTCCATCACATTAAAATTTTCATTTCTCTTACTCTCATATTTTAACCGACGCTTAAATACCTCAGAAACAAGCTATCCCAGATCTTCACCAATAATGACGCATAGCATTTCCTCATTTGCTAATTCTCCCCCTTGCTAATCGTTGATGATAAATTTAGCCCCTCCACGCAGATAAATGAGTAAGGTGTAGCTTTATTCGTTGGAACAAGATAACTGCTATAATAAATAAATAATAAAAAAGTTGATGCATTATTTTATATTCGAAAAAAATTTTTACTACAATTGTTGTAAATCTTCAAACGTATCAAATGTCTAAGCATAAAATTATAACATTATAATTGATCTCTCACAAAGTTCAAATAAAAATAAAAAAAAAATATAAAAAATTGAATGAAATTATATTCTAAATATTTTCAATTTCAAATAATCTGTGTTTAATTACTTTCATCTATAATAACAAATAATGAAATAATCAATTAGTTAACTTAAAATTTAATAGATCAAAAATATCACATGCAAAAATAATTACCTTTAGAATTAACGTCAAGTTTAGTGAAACCAATTCTTAAAGATTCTATATTAAATATTAGTTCGTTGTTAGCATTGTAAAATTAGTTTCTAATCATACTATATTAAATTATATGTTTACCTAAAGATTCTGTTTCATCATTGTCTGCATTTTTTGGTTCTGGAAGATTATTAAAATCTAAAAGTCTACTTGTATAAACTGCTTGAGGATGTGTTGTATACGAAAGCGCACCAGTAGATGATAATAGTGTCTGAACCGCTGTAGATGACTTTTCGTTAATTTCATTAGCTTCTCTAATTTGTTCGTTGATTGCAAAATTTTCTTCATCATGTTTATTACGAATACTCAAATGTACATTCCATATTGACTCGTGCAATTCATCTGCTTTAGGTCGTTTTAAAGGGTCCGCATCCCAACATTGGTTAATTATATCAAGGAAAACTTGAGGAATTTTATAGGTAGATTTTGGTCTCAAACCCTGACAAATTTTTAAAGCTAAGAATTCATCATGGGCGACATCATGATAAGGAGGTAATCCTGTACAAACTTCATATGCAATAATTCCAAATGCATAAATATCACTTGCTTGAGTATATTCTTTTCCTCTTAGGACTTCTGGAGCTACATATGGTAATACTCCATATATTTTTTTATTACCATCATGAGAAGTTTTTACATTTGCTGGTTGACATAATCCTAAATCAGTAATAAAAGTTGTTTCACTAAAAGTACTTAATATATTTCCACAATGAAAATCACGATGAGCCAATCCACTACTATGAATATTTTTAAGACCATCTGCAATACTATGTAAACTATAAGACTTTTTCTCCCAATCTAGTGAAATGAAATTGTTATCTAAATGTTGTCTTAAACTACCATCAAATAATTGTATCACCATCATAAAATTATTCGTTTTTGGATCTTTGGTAATACCAAAACAACGAACTATCCAACCACCATTATCTATAATAATATTTGACTTAACCTTAAAAGGAAAATATAGTTAGTTAAGCACTTATGAAACTAAAATATATAAGAAAATATCATACTTCTTCTAACAAATCTACTGTAGTGCCTTGTGAGTTATGTAAACATTTTAAAGCGACTTCTTTTTGCCATTGATAATTGCCATAACTGTAATTCCAAATTGCTTTAAAAATAGTCCCAAATCCTCCTTTTGCTAAATATTTAACATCTTCAAATTTATCATATTCAATCCACTCTATAGCTTGACTTTCTTTTTTAGCTTTTAATTGTGCTTTTTGAATAAATTCATCAACGTCATGATTTCCACTTGTCCAATTTTTGAAATTTTGTTGAAAACGTTTAGAATTACATGCTTGACAATAATAATCACCAGTATTAGGCTGTTTACATTCATAACACAAACCATTCTCTTTATAACGACTTTTTAATTCTTCATTTAATATCAGCTTATCAATTAACGATTCTTGTTCTTCAGTCAAGTATTCATGTCTAAAATCTTTTATTTGCTCAAATACACCATCACTTAGTTTAACTTCATCCATTTAGTAAATTATTTGTCGAATAAGGAATATGTTATTAATTCGTATTTAAAATATGAAAATAAAGAAAAGAAAAAAAAATAATGGTGAAACGTTATTTATGTTAGAAATGTTGCAATGATTTCATGATCGGCAACGAAATTGTTAAAAAGAAGACTAGTTAAAATACACAGGAAACACAACAAGTCTCGTCACGCTAAACTTATCGTTCAACTTCTATACATAAATGAAAAAATTTATTTCTTGGTTTGTGGAGCAGATAACTTCGTTTTTAAGATAAAAATTCTTTGAATATCTAAATACCAACCAACACGAACGTTTTAAAAATAAATAAAAATTTATATTTTTATAAAAGAAAAAACATTTACGTTTACTATGATATTGTTAACACGATAAAACTCACCTCTTATTGGCTCTTAATATAACTAGGGATGGGCAAAAATGCGAAAATTTCATTTATAATGCGCATCATGCGGATTACGTGCGTCGGTGTCAATTATGTAAATCAAAACTATATATCATATATGGAATATGGTATCATATAAAAATTTACTATTGAAGATTTTTTCACGTGTTAATTCCATTATACAATTTTATAAATACAATAATATTGTAACAATAAGTAATAATAATCATATGATACAATTAAAAAGGTTTGACGCAATAACTTCTGCCATGGGTAATTAATTGACTTGTTATTTCCTTGATAGTATTATTATGGTCATTTTTTTAGACTCTTTTGGGCTGCTATCCGAGCTTGATACTTTCGTTTATATGATTTGTAAATACCCATGCTAAATTTAGATGTCTAGCCTTAATTCTAACTCGTTTTGCGACCAAAAACATTTTAAAGTTAATTTTAATTCCAGAATAACAGAGTTACGTTGCTAAATTTGAAATATTTTACCAATTAATGAAAAAATAACCTTCTTTTTATTCAATATTAGTATAGAGAGAGGTTTTACATGGCATTGATTTGAAAGTTGAATAATAATACAAAAATAACCAACGTAACTTTGTCAGAGATATGTATGAGAATGGATACTTATAAAAAAAAAGTANCAATTAATGAAAAAATAACCTTCTTTTTCCTCAATATTAGTATAGAGAGAGGTTTTACAGGGCATTGATTTGAAAGTTGAATAATAATACAAAAATAACCAACGTAACTTTGTCAGAGATATGTATGAGAATGGATACTTATAAAAAAAAAGTAATAAATAATTTATAATAAATAACAAGAAAGTTCACTCTAGACATCTAAAAATTCGCGAACTATTCTTTTATTATTGTGGTCTACTATGTAAAAGAGACTCTCTATTAAGTAGTTATGATTTTAAAAAAACTTTGATAATAGTTTAATTAAGCTACCTGATATAGTTTTGATTTACATAGTTGACCGATCACCCCAATGATACGTGGTATTATCTATACAAGATTAAATCATTGAATTAATGGGATATATCAGAATCATCAGTTTCATCATTATTAATACTCTCTTCTTCATTTTCATTACTACTACTTAAAAAATACTCATCTTTATAATCGCTCTCTATTTTCGCCTGGAATTTGATTTTCGTTATCTATATTTTCCCATCTTGCAATACATTTACTGGGCTTGCCGAAAACCAGCCACATGTCCAAGTTTATTAAAACGAGTCTAAATAGAACTAATTGGAGGCATCATCATTATCAATATCATCATTTCTATTATTATTCACTATAGTCAATTTCTGTTGTCCACTAATATTTTTCCCCACGAGATTTCGTTTACCCTGGTCCCTGGGTAAGAAAAATCACGTGATTCCATTACAAAATTATTGACCACTAATATTATTAACCGCAGTTGAATAATATCGGGATCACAAGCTTGACACCATGTTTTGTACGTATTATCTTTATTACAATACGCACATTTTCCACCTTTCAAATGTCACTTGTAAAGAATTATATGGTGACGTGTTGGCTTCTACACATATTTATTTATTTTGCAATGAATTATTTTCTTGTTGTTACCCGAGTATCATACTACGCTACTAAACAACGTGAAGACATTTTTTCTGGATTCTTATTAGCCATTTAACTATACGCTATGGCATTTTCTTTGTATTCGAATACTTGTTATTAATATCTGTGGTTGAATATTAACTGTTATATGGCAAGTCAGAGTAAACAAATCTGCGCCTATTTCAACAAAATTTGCCGCTTTATCATTATGTGACACTTTAACATTTAATAAACGTATAATTTAGTGTAACACAAGAAATTTGCATTTTTATTTATGTAATATAAAAAAAATTTTGATGTATAAATTAAACGCTTTTATTAGAATTATATGGGAAATTAGGACAAGCGAATTACGTTTTTGCACTGTAGCCTGCCACTATAACTATTAACTTTCCATTATAGGAACAAAGAAAATGTTGATTGGTTTGATATTTCGCGTAAAGAAATGTTTTCTTATAACATTATTAATTTATTTATTTATTTATTGACATGTTTAAAAATGAAAAAAAAAGAATTTTTTTTTCCGGTTTATTAATTTTTAATGTATACAGCTTTATTTGAAATATTACAAAGAAAAACAATTTTAGATTGATAATTAAAAGGAAGTCAACAATTTACTAAAAATTTGTTACCAATTATAATATTTGTGAAATTGGTTGATAAGTATCTTCTGTTCGTGCATTTATATTTTATAGAGTAAAATAATTAGAGGTCATATATACTTGGGGTGTGCATTTAGAAGGGCACTTATAACTTATAAGTGGTGGTGGATGGTGCTTTTTATAATAATACTAATTGAACAAATACAAATATTAAAAGTAAAGAAAATTATTTAAACCATAAATAGTTAATTATTACGTATTATATAATAAATTATAATTTCTAAATTCAATTATGGGGACGTAGTTTACTGAAAGAACATAGAAAGTAAATGGAAAACAAAAAGTAAAAAATGAATATACGATTGAACGATTTGAACATGCTGTTATCTACATAACAATGAAATTATATACAAATAGTAAATAATCCATTAAAAATATTCTAATTTTCTAGAAGATGGACAAATTTAAACCATAAATAGTAATCTTTAAGTGATTCTTTTAATTCCAGATAGAACATACAAATTATTACCAACAAAAATGAACACGATAATAAATGATAAAAATTTTGATGACCAAAACATTACCAAATATAGTTAACAAAAAGACTAACCATTTATTTCTTTTCGACATTGGTTTATTCATTCATTCATTTTTTATTTTTGTTATTAGGACTTACATATTTATTGATCCAAAAGTTCCTTTTTAATGTAAACTTATCCAGGTAATCGCCTTATTATTTGTAATCAGGTGATATGTATATGTATAATGTTCAGGTGATTTATATGTTTATTTTAAATGATTCTCTGAGTTTCTGAGTCACATTTTTATCGTGAGCAATTTTACTTTTTTTAAACACATCATTTAATGCCCCTATTTGTGATGGAAAACTTGGGGATTATGGATTACATGGCTCATGGTACTGTGAAAATGGGAATCAGTTCCCTTATAATTCTGAATTAGCAAAGTTACTATCCCAAGATAAGTTGGAATATTGTCTTACCTGCAACACTTCAAGCAATAAACTCAAGTTCGCAATTGTAACATAGAAGCTTTATCATATACTCTCACGCTTGTATTTATTTTTGCATGTATTAATAAAGTACCGTGAATATTCTTCTCACCTATCAGCTGATATGTAAAAACGCTGAAATTCTGAGACTGTGATGTGAGTCACGATCTTAAAGTTTAGCACTTTTTTTTATATGAAGTAATGTAAAGCTTAGTATCTGTAATGAGTCAGATCAATCTGTGCAACAATCAATTTCTTATAAATATATCCTCTATTCATAGCAAATTTTTTCTTTTTCTGAACTTGTACAACTGTTACTACATTTGCAAATAACCATGTCCAACAACATTGCAAATACAAGTACTTCTACGAGTGCTCCTATAGCTAGTCTTCCGATGGTTGAAGAAATTAATGGATGGAATCAAGATGGGGTTAAGGAATTTTTGCAAGAGAGGAGAGCTGAATTAGACTTAGACCTTGAGGGTGAAGATATCGATAAAATTTATAATCAGAAGGTTTTAAAGGGTAGCTTTTTCCTTAAATTAACACGAAAAGACCTTTTAAGTATCAATATACCTCTTTGAACAGCTAAAGAAATTTTAAAACTGATTAGTAAGATTAAAAGAGGTAAGCAAGCTTTATTTTTTCCCACGATTTTATATATTTGCCAATAATACCGAATACTTACTTTTTCTTATGCCTTTCTTTCCTATTTATTATCATCAAACCCAGGTTAGGGTTAGGTTAGGGTTAGGGTTCCAAAAATATATTCACGTTATCGCAGAGCAATCCAGTGCCACTGGTAAGTGAGTCATAATAAATTGTCAACACGAATGAACGTATCCTGGCTTGTAATTGTTACATATTTATTAATATTTAAATTTTTCTATTACTAAACATCCTGACTTTCGCTTTATTACTTTTTCTTAATACTCCCTTATTCATCACTAGAACTTCTTACAGAAAGAGAATTGTTTCGATTAAATCTTCTCCTTCTTGAAGGCTTATAAAATGACAACTAAAAGCACACATGAATTAGCTTCACAAAAACTACCTAAGATTCCATTATTACAATGGAAACTTTTCTTAATGAAGCATTAATAGCTTCAAATTATTCAAATGAATGTAAAGTTTAAAAGAAAAACAGTCAATACTTTTTTGTGAGTAATGACTGAAATAAATAATCAAAGATTAAGAAAACTACCAAAGCCAGAAAGGTGAGGTTCCCAAGATGACTGTCATGTGATCTTTGGTGAACCAGACTTTATACTTTTTTGTGCTGATAATGTGAAGAAGTTGGAATCTCTAAATGACACAGAAGTAGTCACTACAGGTGAAGTAAATCTAGAACAACTTATGGTTGAATTAGTAGGAGGAACTGAGAT